TGTGTGTGTGTGTGTGTGATTGCGATTGCTTGTATTGCGGATATGCTGCTCTAGAGGTCAGCGATTATGTGATGATACCAGCAGTGCCAATGTTAGAGGTTCAGTTACCAGCAGAGAAACCTATTCTAACAATTAATGTAAGCTTTGTCTGATCTCACTTTGTGATTACATTACATTGCTAATCTTGAATTTTATCCTTTTAATCAGAAAAGTGTAATTACTGACACGTGTGCCAACATTTTCTGTTTTTAGGTTTATGCTCCTTCTCATTTATCAATAAGTCGTACACTGGAAAGTTGTGCATAGTCACGCCTTCCCTTTGCTTCTTAATTAGTAGTGGTGGGAAGGAATTATCCCTCTGTCTCCATCTCCATCTCCCGCCATCATCTGTCTCTGTCCCTGCTCCATCTGTCACTTGGCTGTCACTAATCCCTCTGGCTGTCAAGGGCAAGACCTCGCTTATTAGTGGCAAGAACATCAATGTCATTGCTCTGTTTTGTGTGTGTATAGAAATACATGGGCATGACTCCAATGTGTTTCTGTTCACACATTGATCCTTGCCTCATTTTGTTTGTTCATTAGACAACAGAATTAATTTAACATATTTGAATGTTTACTACAAAGTCAATAATTGTGTGTCTGTTTAAATGAGACCGATTTGGCGAGTTTTTAATTGTAAGCAGTGCAGACTTTGGATGTTTTAACATGACTAACCCTACTGTAAGTGGTGTTTTCAAAGTTGTGTGAATGACTTGGACATTAGCAAGGATTTAACCTATTTAAATGATAATTTGCATTACGTAATTTTGGTCTATTGCATGGTAGTTGCTGTGGTTTCCTTCTAGTGACTGAAGGAGCTCATCTTGACATGATGGGGGGGGGGACGTCAGCATGTGTGTCAAATTGCGTCTGTGTGTGTGTGCGCGTGTCCAGCAGTGTTGCGAAACTGGTTTGAATACCACAATGGAAAATTGTGTTTGTCATTGCTGCAGCCCAGGAAGAGACAAGCCATGGAATCAGCAAAGACAAGCAATGTCCCCAGCTGACCAGCTGTCTGAAAATCAGTCAGTAGAAACACACAAGCAGGCACAGTGTGTTATCACAGATTACAATTGATAAACACTTTCACTGACCCCACATAGATGAGGGTTGGTTCTGTGACATACATTTGCAAAAGCACTTCTATGCCTAACACTGATGACTGCAGGACTAAATTAGAAGCATTAATCCTGTCAACCCAAACGATGGCTGAAAATCAGATTGCTGCTGCTTTGTGTTCTCTGCAGATACAGATTTTGGCTTGCATCACCTGATGCACTCAACCGAGATCCACTGCAATGACTCACCGTGTCTTCTTTTGTGGTGGTTTCATTGCGGTTGTTTGTTTGAATCTAAGACATCTCACAAGAAAGGAAGTGCCTAGTAATAGCCCTGCCTTACCAAATCTTTTTAAAAAAACTTTTCATTTCCTTAAAGCTTTTATGAAAGACAGTTTCAGTATAATTAGGGTTATGACTGTAATGAGTTTTGTTAAGGCTAGAAGTAGGCGTGTAGTGTTGGTCTTAGACAGGAGTTCCATTAAATGAGACATGGAGTATGAATTCCTTGCCATTAGTGTGTGGGCTGAGTTCATTCATTTCCCCCACATTTCAAGTAGATTCATTTTTCTAATTGTCTTTTAATCTACTAGTTATGGCTGAGTAGAGACAGTGAAAAGATTGTAAATGTACATCTCTATTTCTCTATTTCATAGTCCTTCTCTATTTTCATCTCTCAACAGATCCACACAGTTTTAGCAACAGCCTGCCTCGACTTGGCGTGCAAACCACAGATTGAGATTATTCAGAATATTATATTTAGATTCATGTTTGATATGAATCCAGAGATGGTAGTTTTTGATCATAGCAAGCAAATTTGTTAGGTTATATTTTCAGACATTGGAAAGATTAACAATTGTTTTTGATATTTTAGGATTGGTGTATTAGTCATGTTACATTTCCAATTTGCCATAACACATCCAGCCTCTCACTTTTAATGACGCTCCTATGTCACTTTCTCTCGATTTTTCTAGCTCCGGTGCCTACGCACTGTTACGTTCACCTTCGCAGCCTTGGGACTGTGAAAGAATTGGTTAAATGTGGACAGAACCTTTTGATCCTTACTATTTATGCATTAGTGTAGGTTCAGTCAAATCAATACGTAAGATGATTCATCTCCCCTTTTTCCACTAGTGTTTTAGTTTTAGGGGTAGCAGCAATATCAACTCATACTGGTCTTTATAGCCAGAGATAGGCGGATGGAGAGAGCCTATTATTTTTTTATTTTTTTTAAAACATTAGGCCTACTACCAGTTTGACCTGGCAGGTCTGCTCATGCTTGGTATTTTTGATACCAGGGATGTAAGCGGGTGCTGTTATGGCAAGTCTTGCAAGAATGTCTTGTATGAATTGTTTGCTGTGCATATTTTCCAGCTTGTTGCGTGTATCTGTGTATGAACATTATGAATATTGGTATATGTGATAACCTTGTTTTTTGTCTTACTCCTCTACACAAGCCTTTTTTTGTGAAGGAGCTTCTGTTGTATTTCCCGTCCCTCTTACAGTATCTCTCAGGACAACGCATACTTTTTATACAAGTCAAAAATGCACTATAATAGCAGCCTTCTATGACATAAAGCAACCCTTTTAAAAATCCTAAAAATAAGTAGAATGTTTAATGTTCTGTATTTGTCTCTTTGTGTGCAGAGCACGGAGCAGGTCACTGCTTTCTGCCGCAGTCTCCATGACATGAATCCCCTGGAGTGCCCTATGTCATCCTCCTCATCGTCTTCTTCGTCATCCCTCTCCCCGAGCCCTGTGTCAGCTTTGCCACCCACAGCAGGCACTGCCACCCAGAGACAGCTCTCCCACGCAGACAAACTCCGCAAGGTCATCAATGAACTGGTGGAGACCGAAAAGACTTACGTCAAAGTCAGTATAGGCTCTCCTGGAGTGTTTTGTTTGTTTGTGACTAAAGAATTTTTTATGCACAAATCAATAACTAAGTCAGTCATCTGTAAATTAAAGTTAAATCTGTAATCTGTTTTATATAGACACAATGTCATACTATTATTGTTGTCAGTTATAATTATTATGATTATTTTCATAATTATTATAAACATTAATATCATTAACATTATTATCATGATCAACATGTGGGTATGTTCATATTTGTGAAAGCTGATTTCTTTCTGTTATTTAAAATCCTCAGAAATGACTGTGCATTAAACAGCCTTCACATCAACAGACGCCCACGCATGGCCTTCCTTATTCCTTCATCATCTGATTACAGGCTGATCTTGTTCACGTTTCATGTTCATGTGTCTTTTTCAGGACCTGAGCTGCCTAATAGAGTGTTACTTAACACCTCTGCAGAAAGAAAGCTTCCTTACACAGGATGAGGTAATCTACCTGAATAAAAAAAACTATATATATACCTTGACAGTGCTCTTAAGGTAGTAATTGCTCTCAAGGTAGTAGCAGTGTCAGAATGATTCTTTGTGTGTGTTGTAGCTGGACGTTTTGTTCGGTAACCTTGGGGAGATGGTCGAGTTCCAGGTGGAGTTTCTCCGGACGCTGGAAGATGGAATCAGACTGGTGCCGGATCTGGACAGACTGGAAAGAGTGGAGCAATTTAAGGTGAGGAAAGGTTGATCTCTTGAACTCAATGCGTCATTCAGTTTTTAATTCTCTAAAAATTTTGTCTGACTTCAGGATTACATCCACTAGGTGCTGCTGTTCAGTACTGGTTGATACTTGGATAAGTCATGATATATGGCTTATGGTGCTATTGCAGTTTTCTAGACATGTGTTTGCCCGGACTACTTTGGTCAGGCTCAGCAATAAAAATGAGAAATCTCACTGTATTTACATTTTCTCTAACTGCTCCCAAACAAAATACACTGTTGAGACATTTGTGTTTTTGCCTAACTGTTACTCAGAAAGATATTAAGATTGTTAAGGCATGACATGCTTGTTCGTTTCAACAGAAAGTGCTGTTCTCCTTGGGTGGTTCATTCCTGTATTATGCTGATCGCTTTAAGATCTACAGCGCCTTCTGTGCCAGCCACACCAAAGTCCCAAAGGTCCTGGCTAAAGGTAAAACTTCACTTACTCCTCTGATAGTTATACAGTAGTTTATTGCTCTTTACCATAAGCAGAATAGAGATATCTGCAGGGGCTGGTGTAATAAAGGAAGCTTATTGTTTTAGTCACATGCCCTGCAGGTACAGTGGCTTGAATTTAAATGCAGTTGTGTGTATCAGTTTCCTTGCCCCCAGTACAAAATGAATTAATGCTCATATTTCTGCTCCTCCAGCAAAGACCGACCCAGATTTCAAAGCTTTCCTGGCTGAGAGAAACCCAAGACAGCAACATTCATCCACTCTGGAGTCTTACCTAATCAAACCCATCCAGAGGGTCCTGAAGTACCCGCTGCTGCTAAAGGAGCTCTACTCCCTCACTGACCCTGACAGCGAGGAACACTACCACCTGGATGGTAAGCCAGTGTCGTCTTTTTTATTATTCACATCCACTTTTTGATGTAACACTAAACAGTAACCTCTCATCTATGCTCCAGATCAGGGAACTGCAAGTAATGAATATACAAGAAATTATGCTAATGATAAATGTTTGTGCCTTTCAGTTGCAATGAAGGCCATGAACAAAGTTGCGAGTCACATCAATGAAATGCAAAAGCTTCACGAGGAGTATGGTGCTGTTTTCGACCAGCTCATCAATGAACAGACTGCAGATAAAAAAGAGGTAAACACAATTATTTTATTCAAGGTTATCCATTCAATAAATTATCAAATGACTTGAATTTATATTTTACAATCTGTTTATTTCTCTGTCTATTTATTTCAGGTGGCTGACCTCTCAATGGGGGACCTTTTGCTACATTCTACTGTGGTGTGGATAAACCCTCCAGCATCTTTGGTCAAGAGCAAAAAGGACCCTGAGCTGGCTGCTTTTGGTAAGGGTTAATGTTTTACATTTTTTGGATTACATTACCCTATTGGCTTTCTCTATATATGCATTTCTTAGATTCAAATATTTTTTTCATTTCCAAAAGTTTTAGCTGTCTACAAAGTAATAAAGAACTTTTACATAATTGCAGCTAGACTAGAAGTACTCTTCATGCATTTATTAGGCTGAATTTTATATTCAGAACAAAGTCATTCAAAGATTCATTGCAGTTGATATACAGTCCACTTGGTCTATGTTTTGAGTAATGATGGGTAAAAAAAATTAAAATGTTTTCAAACAAAATATTTACAAAATAGATGATGAAATGCCTTTTTGCATCTTTATGCCCAGGTTTGGTCCAAACATTATGTAACTTTAAAATCCTGTCACATCTGCAGGATTTCAGATGGACAGATAATCTGTAATGCTTTCATCCCCATGCTTTAAATACTGAAACAGTGTCTGATGTTTTCTTACAGATGAATACAAATATATTCCATAATATTATACAGTAGATATACAGTAATACAAAAAAGAGCAATTCCACTGTATGTTTGACTGTTTTCCGCACTAGGGAAACATTGCATATGGTATATATGAGAGTATCTTAACACTTGCAGGTGCATGGCACTTAACAGTATCCCACACAGTACTGTCATGCATAGTGTGATGCTTGGTGCTATTTCAGATGTGAAGAAATAGAATTGCTAAAAGGAAAACCCAGTCGGGCATACTACATGAGCAATCTTTGCATTATTTTTTACTTTTAACATTAAGTGCAGCATCTTATAGTAACATTAATGGGATCATGTTAAATTCTCACACACCAAGAAGTGCCTTCTGTCTCAAAATACTTTGGGCAATAAATATTACATCTACATGGTATAAGGGCTTTCTCTGACCAGGTGATAGTGAGTGAAGTGGTTGCTTTGAGCATACAATGTCGTGACTTTGGTCCATTTTCATCTTTTGTGGTGCTGTTACAGTATGCCAGTAGTTTGGGGCTATTTTCCTCAAAAGCTGTAACTAAAAGCATCCATTGACATGCTGCATGAAGCTGTCACTGTGGTAAAATTGGTAATGAAATGTCTTTTTGATATGAGATGAAAGAAAGCAGACCCTCCTAATGGTTTCCTTCATTTCCCTCTTCATCTCTCTCTTGCCCTCATTTAGTGTTCAAAACAGCAGTTGTATTTGTGTACAAAGACTGCTCCAAGCACAGGAAAAAAATCGTAAGTACCCTTTTTCTCATTTTCTGTTGATTAATACAGTCAGAGACGCACTGTGTTGGGGGGAGGTGGGGTGTACTGTGCGGACGGGCTCCGGGCTTCCTCTGAAGTGCATTTTTTTTAAAAATAGCTTTTTTTAGCTTTGGATGGCACATTGAGACAACAAAGAAATTAAGGTTAATGCCTTTATGGACAATAGACTGAATTGAAAGAGGCAAGTTATTGGCAACTGAATAGACTGAAGAGACTTTATATGCACATTTTACTGTTCCCCATTTACAGTACAGTGGATGGTTGAAAAGTGGTTTAACAGACACAGTCATTGCTCTCTTGTGCTCTCTGCTGTCATGTTGATGTATTGCATCATGTATTAGATATCCAACCAGTGTCTCTTTTGCAGGGTGGATCTCACCGCGTGTCCGTGAGTGATGACAAAGATCCTTTCCGTTTCCGTCACATGATCGCAACGGACTCTCTTCAAGTTCGCACCCTTGCGAGTAGGTCTATTTAAACACAGAAACGTGCAGCAAATGTCATTTTCAATCTTACATCACCATTCCTTGAGGTACAATCGGATTCAGGATTAGTTTGATACTGGGGTCCGTTCTATGTTAGTGAATGGTCAATCTCAGTTAGCTCACACCAAACTCAGTGATTAGCTTATTATTTTTTTGTCCCAGCCTCATTGACTAGTATAAAAAATAACTAAACTAGTTTAGGTAGTTGCAAACACTATATACAAGAAAGAAAAACAATAGATTTAATGTAGGTACCAACTAACTGGTACAAAAGGGACTAAAAAGCTACAGCATAATTGGAGCAGATTCTTTTATTTATCATTAGTCTAAAATATGCATTTGACAAGAATTTCAATGTTTAGACAAAGCTCTCTGAGACACCATGTGGAGACTTTAATTTGTCCTGGCAGGGAAGCATAACCCTCAAAATTGATGTTGTCAGTCAGCCAGATGTCCTCATAATGAAAGTCTGTTCAGTGGGGATTTTTGATTGTGCTTAATTCATACATACATTATTACACATTATTCTGTGAGAATATGTGTGTGGAGTCCGCATCAACATTTTGTAATTAACCAAAGTTAAAATATGCTCACAAGGGAGATATTGGACACATTAGTATTTTGGCAGTGCCTGCATTTGTGCTCATTTCACACACTCCAATAGATTTGCTCATCACTTGAAAGTTCACATGAGCCCTAATCACATTGTTCTTTAGGAATAAATGTATTCAGCATTTTTATGTTGAGGTCATAGCAAAGTTTATTTGCGTGCTCTAATTCTAAGATGCTGTTTCGGATGACTCAGTACTCTCTGACTGTGGCCTCAAAGCCTCTGAAGGCCGCTCAGTGTTGCTGCTTTTCTCTCCCACAGAAAATAAATGATAACCTTTTGTAAACAAAACAGATGAATACCTATTAGTAGGTCTGCATGCAATCTTCCTCACATCCTATCTCTCTCCTAGATGAACCTTAAATCACCCTTAGGCAATTCAGCTCAAGTGTTATCGTTTATCTGCCTAATGGCCTGCTGTTAAAAGGAAAGAAATTGATGACGGATATTAACTGAATGCTTTTTATAAATGTAGACCACATCTCTCTTCTCTCCCTCCTCTCAGACTCTGAGGGTACAGCGGTTTGTGAGATAGTTCACACAAGATCCGAATCTGAAGGAAGACCAGAGAGAACCTTCCAGTTGTGCTGCAGGTATGATTTTATTCTCAAAATTTGTGTTCAAAATGTGAACTGAATGTGTTAGACATTAAACAAAAGATCCTTCTCTAGTATATTGTTTTTAAGTTTTTGTATTTTTGTCCAATTTGCAGTTCTCCAGACAGTAAGAAGGACTTCCTGAAAGCCGTCCACTCCATTCTTAGGGAAAAGCAGCGCCGGCAGCTTCTTAAGACGGAGTCTCTGCCACCCAACCAGCAGTACGTCCCATTTGGGGGAAAACGTCTATGTGCCCTCAAAGGGGCGCGGCCCACCATGAACAGAGCAGGTGACAGCAGCTTAAGTCCCTCCACTCAAAACTGTGTTTTTCTTATGTTTATGTCCCCTGAAATGTCAGACTTTGTCTTTGCTGACTTGTATTTGTACAAAGTTTGTCACTAGAGAAGGATTTTCACATCCCTCTACTGAAGTGGGAAGTGTCTGTACACTTCCCTAAAATGTAACCCGGGAAAACTTGATTTGGTACATAACAAATTCAAAAGCCAATCACTGTCTGACAAATGCCGCCAGCAAATAAAACTGAAACCTCCAGCACAGAGTGGACTTGTCAGTACACTAAGCAAGAGTTTGCACTAGCATAATGAAAGTTTTGACAGCAGACATAGTAGACTGTGCAGTTTTTGGATGTAAACCAGACCCTGGAGCTACCTTGCACTGTCTACTATGTAATAACAACGTGTCACCCACTGCCAGCTAACAAAAAACATAAACAAATAAAAGATGCTATCTCCTTTTGTCATTCTGAAACTTGTCAGAGACTTCTCATCTGAGTCTTCGTTTTTACATAGTTTTCAAATGTGTCTGAGGTGTAACTTTATTCTTTGGTCCAGCATATTAAGGTTCCTGTCAACTAGAAGCTAAAGGACCTTAATGTGTTGCCACTAACTCTACAGGCTTATGTTGTCAGTAATGTTTGTAGATGATGTTAACATGATAAAATATGGTGTTCCTTATTTTTTTTTCTCTCTGTTTAGCATCAGCTCCATCGCGAACGTTAGCCCGCAGAAAGCTGGTGAGGAACCGCTTCACTATTGATACCGACCTGGTTTTCCATGGCAACAACAACAACAGCAACGATTCAGAGCCCTCCCAACATTTGTCCTATCCGCCGCTGTCCCAGCATGCTCTTCTTCAAGCCCACAAACCTCAAGGAGAGGACACAGACCGTTGGGTGGAAGAGCAGTTCGACCTGGGTTGCTATGAAGACCAGGGCGAGGGCATCGACGTGGGGCAGGTGAAGGAGACAGACATTTTGAGTGATGACGACGAGTACTGCAAGTCCGTCCGAGCCGCGTCTGCAGAACCTGCCGACCTGGAGGGGAAGATGGAAGGACTCGACCTACAGGGAAGAGAGATGAGGAGCCACAACCTGAACGGACGAGCAGAGACTGGAGGTGAGATGATGCAGAGTGAAATGCAGGAGGAGGAAGTTGACAGAATAAAGCGTGGCGATAACTCAGGCTCGGTAGACTCTTTCACCTCCTGTGGTGTCTCACTGTCCCGCTGTGCAACACCGACTATAAAGCTTGCCCCCTTGAAGAAGCAGTGTGCTGTGGAAGGGGCCACAAACAAGGACCATGATGTCATTTGGGTGCGGCGGGATGACTTTGCTAATGGGTGCAACAGTGACGTCTTCTGATTGGGAGTAACTGAAGTGAAATGAAGACAGTGCAAGAAAATGAGGGAGAGATTGGATACAAGCTTTAAATATGTAGAAATTGGAGGAGAAAATGTGTATTAAACCTCATCCATGCCTCCCTGTATCACAACACAACCCTCTTCTTCCCACATCACCTGCATCTCCCCTATTCTGACAATCCTAAAGTACTGAAACACAGAGTGAGTAAAGAAAAGCAAAATGTGCTCAGCTTCATTTGTTGAGACCCAGAGGTTCTCGTCCAGAACTGCTTAAAAGTGGAACAGAAAGAATACAGGGTCCTCACTGTTTTGGACACACATCCAGGCATCATCACACACCTGTGGAGTTGTAGTTGAACTTATGAACAAGATGGCACTGCATGAACACACAAGTAAACAAGCAAGTGTGTGTATGTATACTGTAAGTGCATATAGTACACGGAAGCACAGACACAGAGACTCTAGGCAGCTACTGTACAATGCACACATCGTACTGAAGCGACGTCCTCACTGAACTGTGACCTTGTGGCCAAAAATGTCTATTTTTCAACACAGGAATGTGGGTGTTCTATTTTTTTGACTCAGTAAATGTGTTTGTATTTTAACACTCAAGGGCTGTGTGTTACTGAACTTCTCTTCAGGGGCTTTTGGCTTAATGCCTGCTGTGTAAAAGATGGTGAGATTCAACTTAGCTTTATTGTGCTTTTTTATTGTTTTAACTTAATATCAGCTGCACATTGGTGTATAGTCAGGAGTACAATAGTGCTGTTAACCTCTTGTATGAAAATGATTTGAAGCTCACTTAGCATATCCTTTTTAAAAGATAGTTTGGACAACAGATGGTCTACCTATTCTTTATTTAATTATTGCCTTTATACTGTAATTTTTAATGTTTACACCACAGTCAGCTACCCAGTGTTACAAACCACCTTTTTCTGTGTTGGTACCAGAAACAGGCTTGAGAGAAAGCCAGCGCTTGTGCCCTTCACATGAATGTCCAGTCTTTACTTTTGTTGCTCAAATAAAATGCCATTGTTATTTTGGTAACTGATGGATTTCATCAAGGTCATTGACATACTGGATCCTTTCTCGCCCCACAGGTCACACTCTCTTCATGCTCCATGTCCTTGATGGATAACATAATTCCCACAACCATCCTGTTTTACTTGAATTTTCTTTTGTTTTGAAAGGAGGTATTCAACAGAGCCATGTTAGTGACTGTATTGTGACTTCAAGGAGAAGAGCAATCACGCAGGTGACCTGTCATCCTCTGACTGATTCAGACATCTTCTTCTGCTCTCTCCAGCTCCTTTGATCTTATGTCATGTCAAGCAGCATTGCTTGAAATAAATTCCTACTGCATTTGTTCCTCTGTCCACCAGGCTGTGCTGTTTCACTATATGTCATCACAACAACGCACGGATTGCTGAGATCAACACAGTCATGTGCACCTTACTGGATGTATTGAACATGCACTTACTACCCAACTGTGAGGGGGGGGGGGGGGCCGGGGGGGGGGGGGGGAGGAATCTGCGAGCTACTCTGATTCAGAGTGTGAGGCGAGTAAAGGGAAATAATACACTTTGGATGTTCTTATTAATGTCTTTTTATTATGATGCTGGTTTCTTAGATTTCCGCTTACTGGGTGACAATGCCCAGTAAGGACGTTCAGACTGTGAGGTACAATCACCTGGCCTTGGAGGCAAATCCTGTGAGAACCCTTTGACTCCTTCCTTTGTACTTTTAAAACTGTGTTCGTACATAAAACTGTGGAGTATTATCATTTTTATGTTAAAATAAATTTTCTAAATTTAATTTTGTCTGAAATGCTTATTTTTATTTTACAAATGATGTAAAATGTGATTCTTAAGTCAAAGGGCTGTCTTCCTCTTCTGCACATTGATACAAAGCTTAGTAACCAAACCTAGCATTTTCATTAACATCAGTAGCCCGTAAAAACTGAGGTTATTGGATGATCACATTCAGTTGATCAAATAAGAACCAATGATCCCGGGCTGCACAGTATTTCATCTGGTAGTGCATGTGCTCCCCATGTAGGCTGGGTCCTTACCGCAGCGAATCCAACCTGTGGACCCTTTGCTGCATGGCATACCTCCTCTTTTACCCCTCCTGTCATGTCTATCTAAATTTCAAAATGGAGGCATAAAAAGCCCCAAAAATATCTAAACAAAAAAAAAAAATTGATCATCCCAGGTGGTTTTGCAGATCTAACTGCAGTCCTGAAAAGTTATTATGTTGAATCTAAGGCATTGAAAAGATGAAAGGATCAGCAAGCAATTTTGATGGGTAACAACAGTTTCTGCAAATAGAGGCAGTTAAAACTTAAAAAGAAAAGCTTGATTTAATTAAATTAATTGCTGTTAATTAATTAAATTAATTAATTAAAAACTGAGGAACAGCATAAAGTAAAAGACATCAAATTTAAATTTCAAAGTAAATTAGACACAGATATGAAGTAAAATAAGACAAATGTATTATTTTACTATAAAATTCAATTTGCCAAACCAGAATGGGCCAATACTGTTTGAAGAAAATTAATTTCCTGTGTCCATAAAGTTACCATATAATCCTTTAATTCAATATGAAGTAGTCCTATTTCTTCAGCTCTAGCAGACATTTACATGTATGGTAGTTAACAGGCTCTACAGAGCAACAATTTCTGCTCAGTATTCATATCAGGTGAGTTTCGTATCAGGAATGTTGCCCAAGGACTCCTTCTGGAGAGGCTGGATGGTCATTTTTCTGAGTTAATTAAGTTTGTCTATAGGCTGTTTGTCAGAGGTCCAGGTTGAGTTGGCAGGTTTTTTCGGATCACTTGGCTCCCTGCTTTGAGGGAGTTCACAAACATTGTGATAAACAAAATGTCAGTTCTGACTTGATGTGGATTTTGCTTTAGGAGAGCAAGACTGTGAGGTGGCTGGCACCAGGAATGTTTGCCTTTTTCCAAATGTCACAGTATCAAACCAGAGTTAACAATCTACAGAATGTTTTAAATCCAACGGTGATGTCTCATAAAGCTGTGTTTTATCCTACATCAATAAAAAACATGGAACGAATAAAGAAAATACAGAATTCAGTCAGGTCTCTATGGAGATGTTAAAAGAGAGGATGAGGGTGGATGTTAGAGGCATCAGGTGACTCTCTTCACATCATTTAAAATATATTCCCCTGGTCCTATACAGACCTTTTTTGAATATTCTTTCTCTAAAGAGTCCTGGGACTGAATGGGAAAGGGTCCAGTGACCCAGGCAGATAAAGATTTTGCTTGTCTGCAGTGAGAGATAATCTGGCATCTGCCCTGTAACCTGAAGATTATTCTCATCAGGACCGGTGGAGGGAACCGCTGCCAATCTCATCTGCTCCCTAATCCGAACCGAATGTAGCTAAACTAGCCAGAGATAACCAGAATGAGACCACGGGTACTTTCAGTGTAAAAGCTGGTCTGTCAAGCTCGAAAAAACAGGTACCATTATTTGGAGAAATTATAATAAAAGAAAAGGTTAATTTAATGTATTTCTAAATAGATGGCCACCATTCTTAAAGGCGCAAATCTCTATTCTCTATTCTGGAGTAATGTCAAATAAAATCAGAATTGTGTGTGTGTGTGTGTAGCTAAGCCTGTACTAATCACAAACATCACATTACATCTTGGGATAGTAAAATAATGAACAAAAACATTAACAACTTAAAATAAAGTGTCTATTTACGTACCTTAACGACCAGGTGTGTGCTGTTATTTAAATGGTTTTTATTTTGAAAAGTCTTACCGGAAACCAATTACATTTCAGCTTGCATGACACTGATCCGTGCGCTCTCACTCCCTCCAGCTCCTGCCGCCTTGGAGGCGCACTGTGAGTAAAAGTGGACGTGCTTACTGACCGCTGGCTGTGGTTTTTGCTGCCAGTCTCTGTGATGTGACTTGGACTAATTTTGTACAGAAAAGTTGGATCCATGTGACTGGTGGTCATCTTTTTTTCCTTTATTTGGTGCGACGGAGTGATGCAGAGTGGAAAAGATCGAATTGGGAATAAAACTTGGGTTGCGCGCTGGCATGGCACGTCAGGTGTGTCGCCGGTGCTCGGATAGAGGCTGTTTCTTTCTGTCATGGTGTCAATGTCCGTGGTGAGTTCTCCTGGAGCACCATGGAGGAAAGAAGGGGACTTTTTTTCTATCTTCTCTTGGCGGCGCAGCTCTGTCTGAGCTTCACACAAGTCCTCAGAATTGGTAAGCGCAACAGCTGTTTACGCACAGTGTTTTCCGGCGTTTCGCCGCGTGTCTGAGAACCAGATGTGTGTGTATGTGAGTTGTCCCATTGTCTGTCAGAGATAGGAGAGCATCTGGGTGTAAAATTAGTAAAAAGAAAATCACTGCATCTCCTTCTAAGTCTTTGTCTGTGGTAAATACAGTTTTTGTGACCTTTAAGTGTTCATGGTTTCCTCTTTTATTCCCTCATTCCATTCGGCGTCAATTCGGTGATATTTCGTGCCTTTGTATCCCATGAAAGTGATTATGGGATTATTTGTTATCAAGGTTACACTGTCAGTGAAGTCAGAACAGAGGAAAGGATTACCTGCATCAAAGGACGAGATACACTTTGACAACTCCACTCCCCCGCTGGTTTATTGTGTTTAGGAGATAAACGTTGCCACCTATAAGCCCTAATAGAGTCCACAAAGCAAATGCAGGAGGTTGTTACAATATTCAGAAATTCATTTTAAATCAAGTAGAATTAAAATGTGTGGATGATCCAAATTGAATATCCCCTCTGAGCTGATCATTAAAACACCCTCCTTTATTAATCATCATCAGTGATAATGCTACCAATAAAGTGAAAGTTTGTTTTATAATAAATAAGTATGACTCAAAATAATCTTTTGAACTTTCAGCATACTTTGTCATCAGATATGTTGTTAGAAGATCAGTCTCCATGCAATATCTTTGAAAGTATCTTATGAATCATTTAAATTTCAATTGGATTTCAAGTTCAGATGTTTTTCCACACCAGAGACTCCTGTTGGGGCATTTTCATTCAAAATATGTTCCCGAGCAGCTGATTTTCACAAACGCTGAAACCTATCCATCACTGGATGTAACATTGCAAGTGAGGGCGATGTAATCATCCTCAGTCCTGCTGTCATAGGCCTTGGAGTGGAGTTAAGAGGAGTGAGAGAACTTCACCTAGACTTGATTAGACAGGAGGTGGCTGGTGAGCGCTGTGGGCTATGTTCATTATCCAAGCGTCTCACTTTCAAGCTTCAAATCAGACCAGAGTCGAACTGTAATATGTGGATCTAATTGATTGAATAAATTGAGAATTGGTGTCACTGCAACCTGTTCCTAGCTTGGAGAGCTCACATACAGTACTGCTCCTGGGTCAGATTACATACAGCAACAAACACATAATGTTTGAAAACATACAGATAATAACGGTGCAGTAGCTTACTATATATCAATAAATTTATGTGAATAATGGGTGGGTGTGCCTTTTGACAGAATAGCTTACCTTCTGGAGGGTCAGAGGGCTAAACAGTCTATGAGTGGGGTTTCTGATAAATTAAAGAGCCTCTCCATACAATTTTAAGACATTTAAAAGGACTCTGTCTTGAATACTTATCTGTGTCTGATATGGTCTACAAAGAAAGTTCAGTTAACTATTTAAGTGCTATTATTTCTCATACATTGAAAAAAAACTGAACTCAAACGCATCTTGGCATGTATTGCAGTGTCTTGTCAATTACTGTATCTGTACTGTAATCTCTTTTTTTGTGTTTTGTAAAGTGGTACACATTATATTTAAGTAGTATTTAAGTATTTAAGTTCTATTATAGGCTATATATCTTGGTACCATCTTGACTTATGCTCGCCCATGTGTTAGATCTTTTTAGCATGGGCAGCATTTGTTAATTTTATGTGGTCCACAGTTGGACATGCAGGGGGTTTCTGATCTGGAGTTCTGGAGCTCTGGGTCAAACATTAATATTCAGGACCATTCAAAGCCAATATGTTCAGGTTTGATGGTTTAGCTCCGACTCCCTTGAACAACACAAGTCTTGACATGTTTAAAAGATTTACATACTTAGACATCAGTGTCCATGGACTGCAAAGTTTGGCTCCAGGTGTCACTTTCTATTAAATGTAGTTGCTTAAGTTAACTTAGAGCTGTAACCTACATTTATGAAAAGGGTACCTGCTTAATTTTATTCATTATTACTTTCTCTCCAACAACTGGCCATTAGGAAAACAAATGAATCTCTCCTTAGCTAAATTGCCAGAGTTTTGGAAAGTTGGCCTCACTTCTGTTGAAGATATATACACAGATAAACCGCAGAATTGGCTGCCTCAGTAGCGTGATCGTTTATCATGCTGGCAGACACCCAGGACTTTTGGTTTTGAGAAAGGAGAGGGAGCTGTAGTTTGTCAAGGAATTGCACTGGATACATTCGTATTCATTTGTATGTATCGATCCTTTGGTCTCATGAGGCATTTCTTGTGATGTGCAGATTTCAGGATGGTGAGTGAAACAGAGTAACTTCTATACATCCTTTTTCTTTGTTTGACTTAGCAGCACCTGTGTCTGTCCCACTTGTGAGCACAAAACTAATGACTTTGGAACCTCAGAGAGACTCAACCTGAAAGGATGCTGTGTTTTTTTCTGTTTAGCTGATTGAAACTGTAACACACACTGCTTTCATGGTACAAATCCAGTGCCAAAAAGGTCTTGTGGAAAATTAGAAGTTGCTCAGTCTAAAATGAAAAGGCTGTGTGATCACCAGGCTGAAATTCCGCCCTGGAGATAAGATTTTGGCCCTTACCACAATGGTTGCTTTGCCATTATTGCTTTTTTTTGCTGTCATTTTAGTGGCAATACAAAAGGGTGTGATGTTCTTAAATAGTAACCTGTTTTTTCAAAATGCTACAATTGTGGCTAATTATCTCATAATTCCTGCTTGAATTCTGGACCAATAGCATCACATGTTAAAGATTGTATACGATTATTCTTCTTGTAATGCACCTTTAGAAGCTCTTGATGTAGGACATGACTTTCAGATGCTGCTCCTACTTCTTTTGGTGCCCTTGCAGTCGATTTCAGTTATTTCTGTCTCTGTTTTTCTCTTTTTCTCCTCTGACATCCCTGATTGCATTTTGTCTTGTTTGCCCATTTGTACGGTTCCCTTGATTTGTTGTCGGGAACGAAATGTTTCCCCTGTGTTTTCTCAACGAGGGTGCGGTGAAATGTCTGTCATTCAGTTGACACCTGAGACCCCCCCTTTTCTTGCCCTCCCAGACGCATTTCCTCCCACCTGAAGCTACTTCACCTCTCCAAAGCGCAGTAGTTTCTGTCACTGCCCGCAAAAAGGAGAACTCTCTTGTCCAGCTCAGTGATCTTTCAGAGATATAAGAAGGATCCACATTTCTTCTATCTCAGGTACTGAGTGGCAGTTTGATGCGTAACTGCCCTCTGCTCAAATGTGGCTATAAATAAAAGATGAGCCAACTATTCTTTTTTCACCATCTGGAGGTCAAACATTCAACTCCAATATGAAGAAGAAAGGATAATTTTCTTATTTTTCACCCCTCGAACTGAAAAATAGTGAAACATGCTGGTACAATAATTAGTAATAAAACCCTGCATGCAAATGTACCCTAATAGCACTTAATCATTCCATTTTCAATCACTAATGTGTACATCTAGCCTTTCCTAGAACTGAGGCAGTCTGATCATTTTAATGATGAAAAAGCAATGTGGGACAACATCAGACACTGCAACACAGCCTAGCAAAGTCCTGTCTATATTTCACCCGATGCAAATGGAAGGTTAGCACATGTCGTTATCTGCTAGTCAAAAATATTTTGTTTGAAAAAGCAGAAATACCATTAAACATTGTTAAATAACACAAATCTTACACAAACATTAATCAAAAATGAGGCAAATAGGAAAACTTTGACTTCATGTTTACACTCATTCTCAATTTGGCCATAATGAGCTGCCTTGTGTTTTAAGCAGACTCCGTGCAGCTTGAGTGTGCTTATATTTTATGCAGATGAAATCTACCTGCAGACCCGAGTCGCATGTTAAAAGCCATTTATGGAGTGCTGTTGGTCCTCAGAAACTTTTAACACTCATTTATGCTGTCTTGTAGGCCAGATGGATGTGTGTTCCTGAGGCAAATTATTCCTCATTATTTGGAAGCTGAATGAATGCTTTTAGTGCTCTGAGGTACATTAATTCATTTGCAAGGAAAAAACACCTTGTTTTTTTAAAAAATTGCCATTTTTATGACTGCAGCAGTCACAACCTGCATTAGAGTTCAAGATCAGATGACACACGACTAACGTAAAACATAATTATTTATAATTAAGGTGACAGATAGATGTTTCGAGATTCTCCATGTACACACCTCAACCAGCACACACACACCCACACAAACACTCAAAACAAACAAAATCTTTATCTCCCAGGTGGGGTTGTTGAGGATTGATCGGTCTGCGTGAAGGTTGAAGTCAGATTTGTTCTCCGTTTTTGTTTTTATGTTTTCCTCCCACCACAGCAGGCAGATAAATCTCTCATACATCTGTTATACTGTAGCACATATCCACATTTTTATGGCACAGTTTTCCTCCAATACCTGTACCTGGTAATCACAGTAATTGCAGAAGAAATGACATGTTTATGTTAATGGTCTAATGGTTCTTGATTATAATTACTAATTTGATGCTGTTGCATTT